GAATGGAGAAATGTCACAAGTGGAGTACCATAGGGTTCAGTTCTTGCACCAGTGATGTTTATTGTGTACATAAATGATCTACCAGTTGGTATACAGAATTATATGAACATGTTTGCTGATGATGCTAAGATAATAGGAAGGATAAGAAATTTAGATGATTTTCATGCCCTTCAAGAAGACCTGGACAAAATAAGTATATGGAGCACCACTTGGCAAATGGAATTTAATGTTAATAAATGTCATGTTATGGAATGTGGAATAGGAGAACATAGACCCCACACAACCTATATATTATGTGAGAAATCTTTAAAGAATTCTGATAAAGAAAGAGATCTAGGAGTGGTTCTAGATAGAAAACTATCACCTGAGGACCACATTAAGAATATTGTGCAAGGAGCCTATGCAATGCTTTCTAACTTCAGAATTGCATTTAAATACATGGATGGCGATATACTAAAGAAATTGTTCATGACTTTTGTTAGGCCAAAGCTAGAACATGCAGCTGTTGTGTGGTGCCCATATCTTAAGAAGCACATCAACAAACTGGAAAAGGTGCAAAACATGCTACTAAGTGGCTCCCAGAACTGAAGGGCAAGAGCTACGAGGAGAGGTTAGAAGCATTAAATATGCCAAAACTAGAAGACAGAAGAAAAAGAGGTGATATGATCACTACGTACAAAATAGTAACAGGAATTGATAAAATCGACAGGGAAGATTTCCTGAGACCTGGCACTTCAAGAACAAGAGGTCATAGATTCAAACTAGCTAAACACAGATGCCGAAGAAATATAAGAAAATTCACCTTCGCAAATAGAGTGGTAGGCGGTTGGAACAAGTTAAGTGAGAAGGTGGTGGAGGCCAAGACCGTCAGTAGTTTCAAAGCGTTATATGACAAAGAGTGCTGGGAAGACGGGACACCACGAGCTTAGCTCTCATCCTGTAACAACACTTAGGTAATTACACTTAGGTAATTACACACACAAAGAGCCAGAGCTCAACCCCCGCAAACACAACTAGGTGAGTACAACTAGGTGAGTACACACACACACGGTGGGCACACGGGAAGTGGGTCTATGGGGTGGGTTCTGGCACCACGAGGTGGACTCTACACGAAATTCACTTGTTATTTCCTTAAAGCATAAAAGTCGGATGTCAATCACTATGGTATATTGTTTAATAAGTTGAGACGCACTTTGAGATATCTGACTGTTTAGTTCCTGTATCACTGAAATATCCCGAGATATATATTGTTTTTTACAGAGCTCGTGCTCACGTGTGCTTCCCCTCCCTACACGCTACAGACGATATAAATAGAAGCAGCTTCAAATGGGCCAATAAACCTTCTGTAGTTCCTTTATTATTATTATTATGTTCAAGTGATGATTGGTTGACATGGTATACTATCTTTATAACCATATATAATTGCAAAAACAAACATAATTGGTATGCATATTGTTTAACCACTGTATTGCACAACTGGTCTTGAGGCACTAGACAGGTGGTGCACAACGCGCCTCGGGGATCTCTTTGGTATAGCGTACTATTCAAAACTGATGCGCGGTGACGTGGGTACGAAATCGATGCCTGAGGGCTCTGGTGATCATCCGCCATTTTGAAAAAAAATCTCATCATGCCCCAGGGCCGTGGGGAGCCCTGGGTTTCATGATGGGATTTCATGATTAGTTTCAAGGAAACAACCATATCTGATTCATCGACTAATCTCGTAGACGTCTCGCTCGTCTACGAGCTCCCGGTCCACGGTTAGCAACGGTCCAGGAAAATGACTCTCTGAGGATGAAATATGCGACATATTATATGATGATGGAGCAATGGATGATGATTTAGCCTACAATCCAGAGAAAGACCTAACACAGAGATCTGACACAAGTGACGGGGGGGGGGAAGAGACTGAGGTGGAGGAGGTTGTGAGTGTGTACAGTAAAAGCGCCTCACTCGGCCTGCCTTGCTGCCCTGGGTCAAAAATAATGTTTTCTTCCTAACCTGTTAATTTGTGTTCACTGATCACGGGAAAAATAATAAAATAATCGTAAGTGGCATATATTGCCTGCTATTGGGCAGGGAAGTCTGGCAAAAAATAGGCGCTGACTCAGCGTGCGTCCCAGGCGGTCTGTTGATCGCCAGCTGTCAGGCCGGAGTTGCCACAAAGAGATAATTACCTAATTATTTCAATTTGTCTGATTGATTTTTCATAGTTTTTTTGCTGTAATATTATTCAATAGTGTGTAGTTTGATATATTTATATAATAAAATGAGTGAATCATCGCTGTACTCAAAAATATAGTGTGCATATTGTTGATTCAATTATGTTCATCAAACATTGAACAAATACTTTGTCGGTTATTACACTATATACACAGATTATATATAAGTATCTGCATGTTTTGTTCACCATAACGAACCACTAAGTAGCTATTATGAGTCAAAAAGTAACGAGGAGTGACCGCCATGTACCAGCTAGCCACTCTCGCCCTCCCTCAAGTCACTTGACTCACCCACATTCTCCTCCCACAATACTGTTTTTGCTTTTATTCACTATATACAGACGTTATATATGAGTATCTACATTTGTGTTCACCATAACGAACCACTAAGTTGGCATGCTGAGTGGCAGTGCCAGTGGCAGCCCGCCACTGGTTGCTACTTCCTCCCTCCCTCAAGTCACCTGACTCACCCACATTCTCCTCCCACAATACTGTTTTTGCTTTTATTCACTATATATAGATGCTATATATAAGTATCTACATTCGTGTTTACCATAACGAACCACTAAGTTGGTATGCTGAGTGGCAGTGGCAGTGGCAGTGGCAGTGGCAGTGGCAGTGACAGGCAGTGGCGGGTAGGCAGTGGCAGCCCGCCACTGCCTGCCCATCACTCCATCCATCCTTCTATCCATCAATCCATCCTTCCATCCCTCCCTCCATCCTTCCATCAATCCATCCATCAATCCATCTCCATCCTCTCCTTCCCTGGCTCCCTCCCAGCCTCTGCCTTAACGTCATAAACACGTTAAGCCAAGATGTAGCAACTTTATTACAAGTTGTAACAAGCGGAAAATAGAGACAGTTTCGGTTTGTGTTTCCAGGGTCCCTCCCTCCCTCCCAGCCTCCCTCCCTACCTCCCTCCTAAGCTCTGCCTGCCTCCCTGCCTGCCTCTCTCCCTCCCTCCCTCCCTGCCTCTTCCTGCCTGCCTGCCTACATTTCAGCCTTTCCATCCCTGCCTGCCTGCCCATCCACCCACCAGTCAGCCATCACTGACACAATGAGTGCAATTGGAGCCAACATGGTGCACGGATGTTTCTTGATTGTGCAGATATGTCCAACAAAGTCACGGAATGAACACTCCAGCCTCTTGACAAATCAAAACATAGTGTTAAAATTAAAGTTGCAGTAATTTTAGTGTACAATAGTTTTCATAAACTGTATTGTAGTACTCAACATACAGCAGAACTACTTAACACAGTGTTAACGGCATAATACACTACAGTATGTATTTACTGTACAGCATTCACAACTCCACGAGACTTCAAGATGGACATAACTCCAACAATAAGATAAATAACCAATATAATACAGTATTTGTTAGAAGAGTAATAATATATAGTACAGTATATAATATGATAATGCATTTTTACTGTCTACAAGAAAAAAAAAGACACTGACACAAATGCCTCCTGAAGGTCACCTCTTGCAACGAATCCAACGCTCCAACAAACTGGGGTCGGTCCCATATAGTACATTGAATCGAGGTTGTACTTTATACCACTATACAGTTTGAACACGTCTTACACCAGCCACAGTATGATCATACTGGTGTATGTGGGGTCATAACATCTTGAGGTTATCTTGAGGTTATCTTGAGATGATTTCAGGGCTTTTAGTGTCCCCGCGGCCCGGTCCTCGACCAGGCCTCCACCCCCAGGAAGCAGCCCGTGACAGCTGACTAACACCCAGGTACCTATTTACTGCTAGGTAACAGGGGCATAGGGTGAAAGAAACTCTGCCCAATGTTTCTCGCCGGCACCTGGGATCGAATCCAGGACCACAGGATCACAAGTCCAGCGTGCTGTCCGCTCGGCCGACCGGCTCATCTGTCTTGTGCTGCCCTGGGTCTGATTTTCTATTCCCAGCATCTTGTCCTCATGAGTGTCGTTTTCCTCTCCTCCTTGATAAGTCTCACGTTTTTCCATTTTTGTTGTTAGTTAGCTTTAGGGAACCACCATTCGGCCTCTCCAAAAATCCAGCATTTATATATTTTTATTTATTTATTTATATATATACAAGAAGGTCCTGGCCTGGTCGACGACCGGGCCGCGGGGACACTAAGCCCCGGAAGCACCTCAAGGTAACCTCAAGGTAAGGTACATTGGGATTGTGAGGATACATAGCATAGTAATTACATTCTTGTAAAGCCACTAGTACGCGCAGCATTTCGGGTAGAAACACATTGACTGCAATGTTATGCATCTTCTGGTAGAGCCTCAGTAGCTCCTTTAATCCCCCCCCCCCCCTATCTACCAGGTGCATCAGTTCATGATCTTTCAGCTCTAAATATTGGCTAAGATGATGTAGAAGCTGAGGGCTTCCTGATGGTGCTGCCACCACCTGCAGTGGCCAACCGTAACTGAGGAGGAGGGTTGATATAATTTCTGAGTGAATCATTTGCAGTCTTTGCTCTTTTTGTGCTTTGCTTTCTTTAAATCTTGTACTGTAGTTGTGTGTATTGCTATGCTTAATTTCTGGAAGTTTTCTTGGTGAGAGTGATTGTAACAGTCCCCCCTACTCCCAGTGCTTCTGTGAGGTTGCAGTTTTTGGATCTGGTCCCCAGTAGGCCATAAAGGACTCTTGTACTGGATGTAACTCAATAGGGAGGAGCCATCTGAGAGCCATCTTCAGTGAGCCTCTGAGGCCCCTCCCACAAACAGATGTTTCATTACATTCATTGCTGGTTCTTTATCTAACACTGCCTATTTTTCTTTTCAGTAGAATTTCAAGATCCAGTTCTGAAGATAACAGATGTGTTAGGCGCTCGTGCTCAAGATCCTCCTCGAGACATGTGACAAGAAACCGCAGGTCAAGATCACGAGACAGAGAGAAACAGAGAGCAACATCAAGAGATAGACAGAGATCGCGATCAAGAGATAGACAGAGATCGCGATCAAGAGATAGACAGAGATCGCGATCAAGAGATAGACAGAAATCGCGATCAAGAGATAGACAGAAATCGCGATCAAGAGATAGACAGAGATCGCGATCAAGAGATAGACAGAGATCGCGATCAAGAGATAGACAGAGATCGCGATCAAGAGAGAGACAGAGATCGCGATCAAGAGATGGACGGAGATCACGATCAAGAGATGGACGGAGATCGCGATCAAGGGATGGGCGGAGATCGCGATCAAGGGATGGGCGGAGATCGCGATCAAGGGATGGACGGAGATCACGATCAAGGGATGGACAGAGATCACGATCAAGGGATAGACAGAGATCACGATCAAGGGATGGACAGAGATCACGATCAAGGGATAGACAGAAATCACGATCAAGGGATGGACAGAGATCACAGTCAAGAGATAAAGATCAACAGAGGACACGTTTACATAACAGGGAGAGAAAAAGGTCCCAGTCTTCAGATAGAGGAAAGCCTAAACATTGTTCTAGTTTGCAAGAGATCCCCAGTTACAACAATCACAATCACAGATCTAGGTCAGGTTCTGAGGAGTCAACATCTAAGAAAATGCCTAAATCATCATTTTCAACAAGTAAATATAATAAAATTATTAAAAAAGATAAGAAAATATCGGGGAACTTATCAGTGTCGTCTGCGAGCATGGATGAGGTCAGCTCTGATGATGACACAAAACTACTGCAGCGTCTTCAGGATGAAAGGAAGAGGGCAAATGAGGATAGACTAAAAAACAAGAAAGCCAAGAAACTTATGGAAACTCCAGCAGAAAAAAGATTACGTAGACTTCAGAAGAAGGTATGCTTGTGTCTTCTTGTTTTTGTTATTACTGTACTAATAACAGTATGTTGCTATTGCACAGTACTGTATATATATTGCAGTAGTTTACTCATGCTTTGAATATACTGTTTCATTTCGTCTCATTTCTGTTCTTCAAAATAATATTTATTTATTTATTTATTTATTTATTTATACATATACGAGGAGGTACATTGGGTTTATGAGAGTACATAGCATTGATATTTTTACATTCTTGCAAAGCCACTAACACGCATAGCATTTTAGGCAGGTCTTCAACACTTTCGCGTTGTGGGGGGACCTAGTGTCACGCCACCCCAAAGTGGTGCGGGCATTCCCTGTAAGCGCCTGGTAATACTGTACTGAAATGTGTTTACTCTTTCCACAGTGGTCACCTCAATTTTTGTCTTAGGTGTTTGATTTTGGTATCAATGTGTTTGTAATAGAATTCCCTACAGGAGCATATGCATATAAAGTCCAAAAGCCCGGCGTACCACCCACAACAAACCGAGTAATAGGCCACATGTTACCCATTAGCGCACAAAAGCAATAAAATGTGTTTACTCTTTTCACTATGTTTACCTCAATTCTCGTTATAGGTGTTTGATTTTGGTATCAATGTATTCACAATAGAATTCCCTACAGGAATATTATACATATGTCCCAAGCTGTGTTTCACACCACCCGCAGTCAAGTTGAATGCATCCCATGCGGTACCCATGAGCGAGGGGAGACAGGAGCGGTCAGAAGCATGGGACAAAAACAATGGGCCTACCTTGTGGGTTGCGCTGAGTCGGTGCCACATGGCCCCATCTTGGAAAATGGGAAGACGTTGGCGCTAATTTTTAAACCAGTCCCCCAAAAATCAAATGAAAACCAGATTTTTAGCAAATATTTTAACCCCTCAACTGTACAACGTGCCTGCAGGCCCTCGACGGGAGTGCAAAATGTGCCTCCGAGTCTTTATAATTTTAGCGTTCCATTCAAAACTCCCTCGGCTACATGAGATTCACATCAACTTCCTCAGGGCTCTTGTAAACAGACGCCATCTTTAAAAAAATCGTGGGCCACATTCCCAGGTGTGAGATCCTCAGTACAGAGTAAGCAACCAAGGCTGGCAGAAGCAGCATGAGCTCACAGCACTGCTGTTCAGTTTGTGACCACAGCATAGCCTAATAATGTCAAAATATATATATATATAACTTGTATTATTTAGCCATGATAGTATTACAGAAGATTCTGAGTGTGATAATGACTGTATACAATGTTCAAGTATCAGTGATTCAATGCGGTTCACGATGTTCATAACACTAGGCTCAGCACCACAGCATTATTTCGTCCATCTAGGATCCTTCATACGACTTCCTAGGTTCCTTTACAAAATAAACTTGTGGTCAATTATTCAATTACAGGATTTAGTGACCAATATTGTGATAACAGCAGGATTGTGGTGATAATTAGCACTGTGTGTAGTATTGTGAGAGGAGGAATTGTGGTGAGGGAACGAGGGAGAGAATCGAGGTAGTCTCACTGTGTGTGTGTGTCAGCCACTCTTGTTTTGCTCATCATACTAGCTTTGTGGTTCATTATGGTGAACACATATGTACATGGGTATATACAATGTGTGTATATAGTGTAATAACAGCAACATGAGTATGTTGGGAGGAGTTATTTTGGTGAGGAGGTGATGTAATCGTAGCGATGTCTGCTGGTTGCTGTGTGACTTCTCATGCAGTGTATGGTGGCCACTGTAAAGTTTGGACACAATACTGGCTTACTTGCATAGTTCTGGTGAATAAAACATGTAGATAGGTATACATAACATCTATAAATAGTGTAATAAAAACAATAACAGTATGGTGGGAGGAGCAATGTTGGCAAGTAAGATGTTGGAGGAGTGAGGGAGACTGGCTGGGTGTGGCAGCTGACACTCACGGAGTTCTGAGTGTGTTGATGGTGAATGTATATAGTGTGTGATAGTGTATAGTGTTTAAATAGATTGTATATATATATAAATTAGAATGATGCATGGGTAATATGTGCAACATATGTGTACACATGTGTCATGCATGTAACACAGTGTCTTCGGACAGTACGGATGTTCTACTGCCATAATATAGTGTACGTGTTCATTATACATAGGATTGACATGAAAAAACAAAATGTACTTGGAACTGTGCACATAAAATGAACAAAAATATATTCGTGGCAATGGGCGCATCTTGAGCCGGGCACGCTAGTGGCCCCGGGGGCATACGCCACAGGTGACCAGGGATTGATGACGTCACGCGCGAACTTATGGACCCCATACCAGCCAAAGTAAATACAATTTTGATTTTTTTGTTAACATATCCATACTCAAGGAAGGGTTTTTTGACACTTTGAAAAAAGCAAAGAATTTTTTTCCAGAGAATTTATTTCCTGTGCACTGGGGGGGGGGGGGGGGGGAGGAGGAGGGTCATATTTGGAAGCCGATCAGTTGAGGGGTTAAATGTGGACGCCGAAATGCGTCTTGCGCGTAAATTTGTATAATAAATTGTGGATGCCTCAAGGCGTCTCACGATATCTTGTGGTTATCTTGAGATGATTTTGGGGCTTTTAGTGTCCCCGCGGCCCGGTCCTCGACCAGGCCTCCACCCCCAGGAAGCAGCCTGTGACAGCTGACTAACACCCAGGTACCTATTTTACTGCTAGGTTACAGGGGCATAGGGTGAAAGAAACTCTGCCCATTGTTTCTCGCCGGCGCCTGGGATCGAACCCAGGACCACAGGATCACAAATCCAGCATGCTGTCTGCTCGGTTGACCCGCTCCTGGTCGGCCGGCGATGGCAAAAGTGTTATTCTAAAAGATAATTTTAAGTAGTAATTTGTAGCAAAATTTGAAGAATATTAATAGGTACATTGTAGTAAAATTTTAGGATTATCAACGATACGTTGTAGCATAATTTGAGAACTATTAACCACTTAACTACGCCAACCGAGTATTCTTGGTCAGTGGGGAACTGCGCCGAGAAAACTCCTTTTGATTTTTCGGTACCAATTCTAAATGTGTACGAGGTTGGTTGTGTACGAAATGGACTCTTAGGACCTACAGTTAGAGGCAGCCATCTTGGAAAAAATTCCCAGAATGCCTTAGGGCTGCTGTTGGGTTAGTACCGAGTGAGCAACCATGTGTGGTGCACGCGCCTCTGGCTCCCAAACACCTGTCCGACATGGTGTTGAAAAATAACGCTATGTCGGTAAAATTCAAGCCTTATTGTTTGAAGAACATAAGGATCATAATATTGGTGAAGCTAGGCGCAATAAGGACCTAACACAAAGGTCGGATGCAAATGATACAGCACCTATGAAGATGATACAGTGAGCGTATCCAGTTGTAGCTCTGAGCGTCACCCTTGCAATCCTATGCTATCTCCAATTTATTTAGATGATACATGGATGAATCGTTTTCTGCGTTCAGTGATGATGCATCTGATACAAGTAGCATAGATGAACAGTGATAGCGGCTTCCATGGTAGTGTTTTCCATAAATATTTTCAAGAATACCCGAATCTCTTTCTGAGTGACGGACACTCTTTGAGGCAGGCTGAATCTCTTTCTGAGTGACGGACACTCTTTAAGGCAGGCGGCAGGCTGAATCTCTTCCTGTGTGGGACCTTACAAAGCGATCTTTTCAAGACTACCTTACGAATTGATCTTTTCCTATAATCTTTTCAATACTACCTTATTCTTTTCAAGCTTGGCTGCATACAACCTACAAGTACTAAAGCCATGGGTGTACGTGAGTGTGTTATTTGCAAGCTCACAGAATGAAGAAACAGGAAGCAAAAATTTATCTGTACCTGGTGCACTGAGAGCGAAGTCGCGTTGTGTGCCATGGACTACTTCGTTGATTATTACTCACTTCCGAAGTACTGAGTGTGTAATACAGTGTGTTACTGTGTAAATAGTGTCTGAAACTGTACATATTGTAATTTTAGTGAATTTTTAACAGGTAATATTGTGACAATAAACATTTATTGTGGACACATTACTGACACACATATCACAGTTCCATGGAACATTATGAACGTTATACTGTATACATATTGTAAAGGACACAAATATGCATCATATACGATAAAAAACAAGCAAATAAAACCGCATTAGAAATCCATAAAACAAATAATTGAAAATATATTTGTGGCGACACCCGGTGCTTGAATGGCCCGCGCGACTGTGTCTGGGTGATTTACACACGGGTGACCAGGCCCTGATGACGTCACAGCACACCTTGTCCAAGTCCCCACATCCAAAGTAAGTGGAATTTGGTATTTATTTTTACATAGACATGTTCAGGGAAGGGAATTTATCATTTTACGAAGAAAAAAAAGAATTTTTTGGGAACACTTTATTTCATGCGCACCAGGGAAATTTCACAATAAACTCGGCGCAGCATGGTGGTTAATAGGTACATTGTAGCAAAATTGGCATTCAACATAACTATTTAGTTAATATAAGATATAAGTTGATAGCAGTGATTACAATGGTGAAGTTGCATGTCTTAGGCACATATATTGGGGAGTGGGTAGCAACAAGATACAGTGCGGGTTTAAGGTACTAGGTAGGTAACTATGAGGATGAAATTAAGTACTTTTTTGGTTTTACTTTTGAATAAGGCATAGGTTGGGCAGGTTTTTAATTCATTAGGGAGTGAGTTCCATAGACTAGGTTCCTTTATTTGCATAGGGTGTTTGCACAGATTTAGTTTGACTCTGGGGATATCAAAGATCTATTAATTTCTGGAGTGGTCATTATGGGTTCTATTACATCTGTCAAGGTAAAGTTTCAGATCAGGATTTGCATTTAGGAACAAGGCTTTGTACATGTAAATGGCACAAGAGAATGTGTGGATGAGTATTTTTAGCATGTTCAGGGATTTAAACTGAAGGGCTGTGTGTTGCCTGTAAATTAGAGCTAGTTTTTGTTCTGATGGCAGATTTTTGCTGGGTGATGATGGG